GCGGAGCGACGCCGAAGGTATACCTCAGCATATCGCGTGACTCAGCGTACCGGTGCCGCCCCACTCGGACTCCAAGGAAAGCAGCGTCTTTTGGCAACAGCAGCCCTACCACGACTTGCGCCAGGATTAGAATACCGACGACTGCCGAAACACAATCATCTTAACTTTAGATCGGCAGTGATAAAAAGCATGTGGCAAAGAGGGAGAGCATATCGATCCCCAGCGATGACACTTACTCTTGTTACTCGAGGTCATCTGCTTGACCCCGTGCAGATTGCTACTGCGCAACCACTGGTGATTGCGAGAAGGCTCTTCTCCAGCCCAAGCGCAGCACGACTACTACGACGTGCGAAGCAGTGCTGGGACATCCTGCAGCATCGAGTAACATTCACCGTGAAGGACAACGACACAGGTCCCATCAACAGGATACGCTCTGTTTTGAAGGACTTACAATGGACATGGCCAGCCTTCGACTACTTCGAGAGGGCGAACCACCAACGAATCTACCTCACCAAGCACCCGATGGGTTGGTGGCAACATACATTGAGAGAGGATCTTCGACGATTTGTGTGGCGTACAGATCTTCAGCTACAGGAGCGCAAGGACATGAAGGGCTGTGCTGCTGGCCTGAACTATCACGTCACCACGGCCATCTTGCGCAAAGCTGATCGTACCACCAAGCCTGACGACGAGGACGTGGACGACGAGCCGAAGGAGCAGCCCCCGTTGCTTCTTGGATCCACGGACATACCAGTACCTAAACTTACTTCCAAGCAGGTCCCGTTCTTGCGTGCCTACCTCCAGGGAGGCACCATCACAGGACATAGACTGCACTACATCACCAAGAATCCAGCCCACAAGAAGTGCCCATTTTGCCTCGCCCTTGACGAGACTATGCAGCATATCTTATTGGACTGCCCCAGATGGGAATTGCAAAGAAAAGCATTACTGGACAGCTACACGAAGGAAGAGCTTCTTGCGCTACCGACGTGCCTCTTGTGCTGTGGACAGTTGCCAGACAGGCCAGAATATGATGCCTTCGCATGTGAATTACTACCAGATGATCCTCCATTACATGCACCGCCACATCATGCTGACGGTGAGTATGAGGTGGGAGGACACGAGGAGGACATTCTCACAAAGATCGATGACTACACTGTCGTAGCTGGTGACGGGACATGTCCTGGCCAGGCGTCGGACCTACGTCTACGCAGGTCGGGCTACTCACTGTACTACGGCAGAGGTCATCCATGCAATGTTGAAGTACCCCTGCGCAGTGTCGCACAGGGAGCTCAGAGAGCAGAGGTTGCAGCACTTCGGCACTTTGTCGCGTGGAGCTGGGGCAAACAGATCTACCTGACGGACAGCAGCTACTGCGTTCGCAACTTCTCAGCACTCCTCCGAGGGGAAGCGCTGAACACCAAGCAGCACACCGACCTCTGGCAGACCATCGAGACAGGACTCAATGCCAAAGGACGAGATCTATTTCGAGTACAGAAGGTCAAAGCCCACACGAGCGAGCGTGACATCCCAGCAGATGAACGACTCTTGTGGGAGATGAATCGCCAGGCAGATGCAGGAGCTGTACGTGCGGCAAGGTCACACGGCCTTCCGGACACCATTCGCCAGCAGCATCGGCAGGAGCAGAAATTATGTTACCTTCTTCAGCACACGGCGACGGTCATCCTCATGCACCGAGCAAAAGAGCTGAAAGAAATGGGCCGAGATTCACATCATGACAGATGCGAGCAGGCCCAAGCTATGGAACGTGCTGAGTTGGACGGTCAACAACATGCACAGCTTGATGAAGACAACGAGGAGGACCCGTGGGCGCACCTGGGCATGGACTCGGACGACGAGCAACCCCAGCTACCGCCACAACGGACCTCCTCGAAACCACCCCAGCCAACACCGACGGCCCCGTCTGCACCAAGGCGCCGACTACTACGCAAAGCAGCTCCAGAAGCAGATCCACCAGCCACCATCCTCGAGGAACCTAGCTCGTCATCGAGCTCGAGACCGCAGGAGACACGCAATGGACTAGCACTGGACCAAGCTACTACGAACCCGACAAATTGGACCCCGAAGGCAGCATTTCCTGGCTATCAGTGGGAACCAATCCAACCAAATATTTATGATTGGAAGTTCAAACCAATACTACCTGAGACGGTGGCCAATCGAGCTTGGTACTACCAACAGGCGTTATTTCCTGCAGTGGTATGGTACTTCTCACAGCTACAATGGGAGGCCGATGACACGGTACGAGCGCCAATGTCTGTATCCTGGGTAGAGATTGCCATCGACTTCACTATTGTAACGGGCCTCTCTCTTGTCACGCCGCAGGAGAGCGCTAGTGAGGCAAAGATCGCGCGCATGGCCAGATACTTCAGCACTGCAGCTACGAGGATGGCACAGCTATGTTGGCTCCACGAGAGACCCATGCTGAGATAAGCGCCTTGATACCACTTGGTCTTCGCAAGGCCCCAGGATTTAAATGCCGAGCGTCTTTTGTGGCTCACCAGCACACGATGAAGGTGATGTACGCATTGGCCCTCGCTTCCACTGACCGTAGGGGCAGCCTCGACGTATGTCCAGACTGGTGCTCGCCGCCGAAGCCGATATGGAGCGTCCCTTGCCTCAAGGAGAACATAGTCAAGACAGTACGAGACAGTGACCTTTCTTCACGAGCAATGCAATCAGTGGCATCACTCTCAGAGAGGGGTACCCACACCAGGAACGTTGTCTCCGTCCAGAAGCTGCGCAATGTGATCACATGGACGACAGACGAAGAACGAGAATTTCAGGGTCTTCAAGGACGTGCTCTTATTGATGAGCAGAAGCGTCTTCTACACAATCGAGAGGCCCGCCAGCAAGGATACCATGTGCTTGGCCCGCTTACAGGAGCCAAGCGAGACCAAGACCCGCACCTGCTCTGCATACAGTGCAAGTTCACTACGCCGGGGATTGGACGCTTCAGCACATGGCCACGACTACTATGCACACCAGGGGTCCTGCCGTCAGGGCCGCATCAGTGTGGACAAAAACGTACGCCAGAGGACTACGACAAACTTATCTTGGAGCACAACATACGCACGGAGAAGCCAGGCAACCGATGCCACGTCCTACTTTCCTTTCGACCAGCACGAGTTGGCCAGGAGCTCGAGTGCATGAAGTGTTCCAAAAAGTCAGCCAAACGGAAGTATTTCGAGTTCTGTGCAGCCATCTGCACTGGACGATAGCTCATCACACGTACACAGGGTGATGGCATAATATTATACTTACTGCAGCCTCGTGAATACTACGCAGGGTGTGGACAAACATGAATATTATCCTGGAAAAGAATGGGCCGTGGAAGGCCCGATCACTACAAAGTACGGATCTCGAGGAAGCCCCGAATGCGTGGGAATACCTCAGACCATGTTGCCATGTTTTGCTGGCAGAACGCAAGTCCTAGGGAAGCCCCGTATGCGTGGGAACACCCTAGGCTCACGTTGCCATGTTTTGCTGAGTATTACTTCGACATCGTGACTTTGACGGTGTTCGAGAACTTGAATGCTACCTCCCTGCTCGGCAACCTAGTGGAGCAGGGTAATTACTTGGTGGATATACGATGCTACCGCGGACGAGTGCCAAGGTAGATACATGGACCATGTGTGGGAGGCTTCAGAGTCTGAAGCCTCCTAGGCAAAGGGCCCCCTTTCGCCGGCGACGTGCACGTTCGAGAGGACGGCTGGCCTGTTCGGCGGCCGACGCACGGGCGGCGCACGGGCGACGAATGCGCGACCCACCTCTTGTCGCGAAGGGGGGGGGGGTCAGCACGCCGGTCGTCTTACTGGGCCTTGACACGTCAGACCTTGGAGGAGGATTCCTTATCCAATGAGGGCGGCGGTGATGCCCATGGCCGAGCCTCGATCGGAGCTCCGCGGGCTTCCAGACCCTGGGTTCCTCCTCCAGCGGTTCCTCGTCCAGCGCCTTCGCCGTAGGGGGGGGGGGCCTGGGCCCGCAAGAGCCCTGAAGGACCCCAGCCCTTTGCCTCGCAGAGCTGCGCGAGCCCTGGGGCGCTCGGCTGCCTGCCGGAGGCACGGCGGCGGATCTGGACTTTGAGAGACAGTGGGGGCGCGCAGCAAGAAACCATCTGCTCTTCGCCAGGGTATCCTCGGTTTCTTTGCTCCTCGCGCTGCGCGGCGGCTTCCCGCGGCCGTTGAAGGAGCTGCTGCGTTCAGGGTGTTCCAGGTTTCCCCCCCGGTGCACCTTGCGCGCGGGTTCTCAGGGTTGGGTTTCTTGCGAGGGTTTCTTGCGGCCGGTCCCGCACTGGACCCATCGGTCTGCAGAGCGAAGTGCACATCCAAGTGTGCATCAGATTGCAGCCGCTACCAATCAAACTGCAAGTGGCAGACGTTGTATTGATTTTTGCAGTGGTCTCTACTTTCTGCTATACGTTACGCCCGTCTTTGATAATTGCAGCTGCCTCCGAGGTTTCGGATTTGAGACATCGGCAGGTTGCTGGGGGCGCCTTCTGTATTGACGTCAGCGCAAGGGCGACAAGAGAACAGGGTATCACCACCGCGGGTTCACTTTGCCAGGGTATCGCTTGCCCGGTTCGCTTCGACGGGGGTTCTTTTCGCTTGAGGTTGCATCGCTGGGGCATCGATTCGCCAGATTCGCTTCGCTGAGAGTCCGTGCGCCCGCTTAGCTTCGGCGGGGATCGCTTCACCGGGTTTTGTGTCCCTGGGGGTTCGCTTCGCCAGGGGCCCAGGCATCCATCTCATCTACGTGGTTTCTTCATCTCCCAAGTCTCGTCCTCCCTCCTCCTCCTCCTCCTCCTCCTCCTCCTCCTCCTCCTCCTCCTCCTTTTCCTCCTCTTCATCCTCCTTCTCTTACTCCTCCTCCTCCTCTTCACCATCCTCCTTCTCTGACTCCTCTCCTCGTCTTCGCCCTCCTCCGTCGCGCGTGCAGCTGGCGCACCGCGGGCGCCGCCCGGGGGGGGCCCTGCGCGCCAGATGCTGGCGGGGTACCCGCCGTTCTTCGATGAGAACCCCTTCGGCATCTACCAGAAGGCGCCCCGCCCTCGCAGGCCTTTGCCTCCTCCTTCTCTTCCTCCTCCTGCTCCTCCTCCTCCTCCTCCTCCTCCTCCTCCTCCTCCTCCCTCCTCCTCCTCCTCCTCCTCCTCCCACTTCCCCTCCTCCTCCGCCTCCTCCTTCTCCTTCGCCTCTTCTTCCTCCTCTGCTCTCCTCCTCCTCCTCGTCCCTCCTCTTCCTCCTCTTCCTCCTTCATGTGCTCCTTCTCCTCTTTCTCCTCGGGGCCTGGAGACCTGGGGGGCTTCGGGCGGAGACTCTGCTCGTGCGGAGCGCGCCCGCGGCGACGCTTTGGATTGTCCGCGGCACCAGCAAGGGGCGAGTGCCCAGCTCCTATCTTGTGGCCGACCTCACAGTTGCCGGTAGTTGCCGGATAGTTGCCGGCCACTTGCCAGATACTTGCCGCTTGCGTTTTAAACCGGTGCCGTCGTTCTGGACCGGAAAAATCTAATATTACAATTTGTCCTACAGAATGGTCGGCAACTGTGTTACGCGTAGGTGGCAACTATCCGGCAACTGGCCGGCAATTGTCTGGCAACTACTGGCATCTGTGCAAATAGAACAGGGTCTGCCGCAGGAGGCAGGCCGGGGGCTCAGCCCGCGGCCAACCGCCAACCCCGTTGCATTCTTGGCGCCCTGCCAACCTGCTTCAAGGCATGTCCAGCACTGCCAGGCTCACCACTGCCCAGTCCAGCTCGGGCCCACCCCGCGCAGGCCGAGGGCGTCTGCGGCGCCGCAGCTTGCAGTCGCGCCCAGAGTTCAAACCCTGCCAGACGTGTTCTACTCGCGATCTAGATTGGCCACAGGGCCTAGTGGCAGGTCGCGGGCGGAACGCGCGCGCAAGTGACAGGCGGAAATGGTTGGCGCGGATTGTGGGCCGGGTCGCGAGGTCGGGTTGCGGGCGCGCCTCGCGTCGCAAGTCGCGAGCGCGGGTCGCGGGCGAAGTTGGCGGGTTGATGTCGCTGGTCGGAATGGTGATATCATCGTCGCATCCTATGGCCGACCTGAGATTGAACACGCAATGACGCTGCCGCGGCGGGGCCCCGCAACCTCATGCTGAACGCGCAATAACTTTGCCGCCTGCGCCGCTCATCGGCAACGTAGCCTGATCGGAATGGTGTTCTAGCCGCAGCGTTGGCCGCCAGGGCCGCGTCACTTCCCTTTTCCTCCCCCTCCCTCTTGCGGGGCAGGTGCATAAGCCCCCGCCCAGCCGCCGACCCCGCGGCCAGGGCCCGACTGAACCGCGCCAGGAACCAAGACTTTGTCAACGACCGCTTTCCCAGACCCATTAGCAGTCCGAACAGAAAGGTTTGGATATGGTTTCCGCGGTGGCGGCGGGGCCGCGTTTTTGACATTTTGGCCGCGGCACATATATAGCACTGCGTAGAGGTAACCGCGCAAAGTGCATCTCTTAGATTGCACAAGGTAGATTGCACCACGTAGCTGGGTGCACCCAACCCACCGTCGGGGGGCACCGTGCTTTTTGAAGAAAACGCAGATTTCGAATGCGTGTTGAAGCGGGTCCAACCCCCCGGCCCCAATTTGAAATGTTCGGGGTGGTCGACGCGGGGGAATGCGAGTCGTTTCGAAACACAGCCCACCCTTGCAAACCGCGGCCTGCTCCCTTAGATGAACATCGTAATTGGCGGCGCGGGAGGCGATCGTGCGCCATCTTCTAGTCGCTGTAGGGCGTTTTGTTGTTCGAAAGCGCCGGTGCTACTACTACGACTACTACTACTACTACTACCACCACTACTACTATTACTAATATTACTACTACTACTACTACTACTACTACTACTACTACTACTACTACTACTACTACTACTACTACTACTAGTACTACTACATGCGACTACTAC